GGCTGCTTTCTGCTGATAGTGCTGTCCTATGTGTCCATTGTCTGCTCCATCCTGAGGATCCGCACCTCAGAGGGCAGACACAGAGCCTTTCAGACCTGCGCCTCCCACTGCATCGTGGTCCTTTGTTTTTTCGGCCCTGGTCTTTTCATCTACCTGAGACCTGGCTCCAGGGACGTCATGGAYGGGGTTGTGGCTGTYTTCTAYACWGTGCTGACACCTCTTCTTAACCCTGTTGTKTAYACCCTGAGGAACAAGGAGGTGAAGAAAGCTCTGTTGAAGCTGAAGGACAAATTGGCCTATTCTCAGAGCCAGTAAATGCTATGAAGTAGACCTTTCATATTTTTAAAATTAGCAATATATAATTTATTTTTCCACAAAACATTTATTGCATGTGTAGGTCTCAGTTTTAAACAATGTTGGAAACAAGCTACTCATGAATATTTTTTCATAGATTTTAAAGGAATTCTAAATATCAGAATTAGACTTTTTAAATTATTAATACTGGATATTCTGAAGTATAGATTCATTTGTTTGCTATTACTCTTTCAAAAGTAAATTTTCTAATTGCATCTCAGATTCTACCCAGTGAATTATTCATGTATCTTAATTGATAGCATGCACTTTTTGTGGGGTTATTTTTTTGTATACAAACTTTGGATTTTTACAGTTATTGGGCTAATGCTCAAGGGCTGAAATAAATAGCAGTGGTCATTTATTTTTGGCTGAAATTATGCAAATGTCTTCTGAACTCTTTTAGCCACTGTATGTTTGTGTAAGTGTGTAAAATATGTAGTCCTAAAGTGGCTAATATTCTTTACTAGCACTTTTTGGTCAAGTAGATTGTTTTCATATAGGAAAGTATCAATCTTCTTCTTAGCAACCTCTATAACCAGTACTACCTGGATGAACTGAGAAAAGTTTTCACCTTGAAAGAGACCTGCAGAAATTTTAGGTTTGTGATGGGGTCAGGATGAATACAACAGCAGATCTTCTAGCCTCCCCCATATAATCTGACCACTAATATCCTATTCTACCTTATAAGATATTCACATTTTGCATAGGTAAGGATCCTTTTGCTTTAGATTGTGGTGACTGATCATGTAGTTCACATGTTTCCTTCTGTTGCCACTTAAGAGTCTTGGAAATTTGGTAAAGTTCTGCCTGYTCTGCAACAGGGATGACCCTCATTACACGGAGCAGTCAAGGGTGATTTTTTTTTATTTAAAAAGTAGAGAAAATAATCAGATAATTGTTCTTGTATCATTTCAACATATTTCTATTATGCGAGAAACAAATTCATCTGTCCAAATGCAAAGAATGGACTAAGAGAAACAAGGTATAGCAAGAAGCAAGGTTTTGCTTTACTGATGGTCTTGCAAGATCAGGTGTCTTGCAAGATCAGGTGTATRGTGGAAGCAGGCATACCCTGATCAGTCCAATCAGAATTTTATGTCCTAGAGTGCAAAGTCCCTCCTCAAGTTCCTCATTGGCTGAGTACTATGGGTTCACAGTCTTTCCAAATGTYGTCCTGATTTTACTGTCTCCTATTCAGTTAAAGAAATATTCCTCTTGTTGTTCATGCTTCCCTTTGTTCTCCTGTGTCTAGAAAGTCTTCTTGTGGTGAATGCATTCTGGCAAGTACACAGCTCTTGCTTCTTTATCAAGTTACTATTTTTTTAACAGAGAGATTTCTGTCCCTGTTGGTCAGGCTGACCCCTTCCTCCACTTCTTGTTTGTCAAGAAGCTGTTGGAGTGCATGGACTTTGGGCCACATTCATAGGCTATGGTGCTATTGTGTGAAGTCACTGCTTGTAACTTTCTCTTCTGTTCTATAGCCTCCTCCAGCTCTGCCTGCTTCAGTTGCCTTCTTGGTTTTACATGTAAGGCTAAATTCTGTATTTCTCACATATTACAGTTAGAAAAATAAGACCTGGAACCAATACATTACTCCAAAAACATAATGCATAGTTACATAACCAGCATACACAAAGTCCATACTTGTGGACATCTCTATGTTATGGACTAGACTTTAGACTTTTTATTATAGCCACCATTATAGCTATGAGATGATATTTCAGTATAGTTTTGATTTTCACTTCCCTGATGATCAGTGGTATTGAAACAGTTTTTCATATGCCTGCTGGCAATTTGCATGTCTTCTCTGGAAAAATGTCTGTTTAAAGATATTGCCCACTTATTTTATTTTATTGCTAATGATTTATATTAGTTCCTTATATATTTTGGATCTTAACCTTTTATAGGGTATATAATTTGTAAATATTTTTCTCCCATTTCATAGATTGTTTTTTCATTTTTGATGTTTCCTTTGCTGTGCAGAAATTTGTTTAACATACATAATTTATTTATTTTTATTTTTGTTGCCAGTGTTACATAGTATTTTTAAGGATGATAAATGTATTTTTTAAAATTACTAATTATAAATTACTTTAGCAATTATCACCATCATTGACAAGGTAGTCTTTCCTCTGGCCAATAAGTTACTTTGGTAAATTTGATATTCTCATGTTTATTATTTTTTCAAGAATTTATTTATAATAAAATATATGAAACAATAAAATCACACTAAGTTAAATTATTCAGAACCAAAACAATAAACATTATTGAGTTTGCAATTAGTCACACACTTTACAAATATTATCTTAATCTACTCTTATGAAGTAGAAATGCTATGAAACTGGTGTTGTTACATAAATTCATGCAACTCTTGAGGAATATAGTCAAGTTCTAATCCCAGACTATCTGACAACAAAGCACATAATGTTAAACTTCAAGTTATTTTCATATAATTATGGGAACTTTCTGTGTTTGCGGGTCAGGCTTATATTAATGGATCTGAATAACCACTAAATTAACAAAGCACATATTTTTGTTCAGTTACCTGCATTTTACATATCAATGTAGAATTCTTAAAAAACTGTTTTTTATTTTCTTGGTTTGAGCCCATAATTTTACATTTTTAGAGACTTGCCTTTGGATATAAGTCTATTCCATCAAACTCTGTCTGATCTTACAGATTAACAGTAGTTTTCCTCTTCTTCAGCTCTGCTACYTCCCATAAGCACCATGACTACATGACTAGCCTAATAAAAGTCACATGAAAGTCTAAGGCTCTGCCTGTGTTCCTCCCTCAGCCATGTCTTCTTCATGCAGTTGGCTCCCTCAAGCTGTGATTAATGAGTGGTTGAGAAGAGATAAGCAGAAAAAGATGAGGCAGGTAGGATGACACAAAACATTAACAAAAGCTCTGGAGAATAAYGAAAATAAGCTATGATTTTTATTGGTTCAGCAAGGAATCCTTTCATTATCAAATAATAATTAGGACAACTTCATCGTAAATACCTCATTGTGTCATTATTATGCTCTCAGAACTACCAATACTATTTTCAAAAGGGAAAAATAAAAAAAGGGATTTAAATTATAAGGAGTGAAGAATCTGGTTCAAATCCTGAAGGAACAGGGTGATGTTTACAGTGATCCCAAGGATGATACTTTGTCAGATCAGTCCTATTGTCGATAATTAATCAATGCAATAGCTCTACCATTTTAATAAATTGATTACCAAACTTCATGCATGGAAGACATAAAACTTTAAGACAATATTTATGTTTCAGAGGTGTAGAGAAATAAATAGATAGATTTTAAAGTGTTATAAAGTATATGTGAGGTACCATGCTAAACCCTACAACATCCAATACAGACTAGGTGAAATGAATCAACAATTGAAAGTGAATAGAATTACACATTAAAAAAAAACGAAGGCAAGCTCCAATGATAACTTACAATATTTCACATGTAGAATATGAATTCTATATAGTTCATGTGTTTTAGGATATATTGGAAGTTTATAGAGCTAGTTTCTCAGGGAAAATAGTACTATATTTTGAATTTTTTTAACTCATATGAGAGAAAATTCAGGCATAAGAAAACAAAAACCAAGCATTTTACTTTTGTTTTTATTTCTTAATAATCTCAGGGTTCATATTGGTCAGGATCTTTACCCAACCAGCTACAAAAGAAGGTGACTTTCTACTTTGTCCCTGTTGCTGGGGGAAGAGAGCATTAAGTGAACTGCTTAAAACAACATTAAAATGTTGATTCAAACATATACAGTGGGACTCAGCTTTCCTTACAATGGGCAAAATTGTTGAAACAAAGTATATCTTGTCCTTATCCTTTTTAGAATAGGACCTTTCAAAATGAGTGTTACTATTCCCCCTTTTTAAAGTTATCTTTGGAAAACATTTTTATATTATGGTACTTATTTTCTGATTTTCGATAACCATACTACCAAAAGCAACCTGGTTGCATGACTATTAGACCAAAAAGAACATCTGTGAGGCCCTAACGGTTCACTGTCATCAATTCATTCACAATTGTCAGAAGCAGTGGAAAGCCAAAATGGAATTTTGAAAATATGATTGAGATTTGTGCAACTACCGTCTGGTGTGGCCAGACATCCTGATGATAGCATCTAAAGAGAAGACAGAGAGTCTTCTGAAGTGAAATATTAATGAGCAAAACTTGAGGCTTTGTTATTCCTCTAACATGGTCTAGAGTATTCCAAAGTATTAGTGAAGTGTGCCCAGACATTCACAGCGGGCAAAACTTCAAGAGTCAACACAGAAGAATACCACCATAACAGGAAGGCTGATGCATTGTCATCAGACTTTACTGACAGAGGCCATACAGAGGTCACTCAGCATTAAGAGTGCAATGCAGACTTATTTAGCTTAGCATAATAGTCTTCAGATCCATCCATTTTTCTAGCAATCATTCTTTTTATGGCTGAGTAATRTTCCATTGTATATATGTACCACATTTCTTTACCTGTTCATCTGTTGAAGGGTACCTAGGTTAGTTCTACAGCTTAGCTATTGTGAATTGTGGCTGAGTCACTGTATCATGCTGTTTCATATATGCTCTACTGTCATAGAGCATAAAGAATAAAAAATAAATAAAAACTTCTAAAGAACATATTTTTTTCAAGGAAGACAATAAATTTCTGAATATTTGTTCATTTGTTGGCCATGAAGTGTGTTATGAATTATTTGGTTTTCATTCTGCATTTGTATATATTTTTTTAAGAAATATAGGGCTGGGGATGTGGCTCAGGCGGTAGCGCGCTCGCCTGGCATGCGTGCAGCCCAGGTTCGATCCTCAGCACCACATACAAACAAAGATGCTGTGTCTGCCAAAAGCTGAAAAATAAATATTAAAATTCTCTCTCTCTCTCTCTCTCTTTTTAAAAAAAGAAATATAAAAAAATTGTTATGGGTAAATGTTCAAATGTTTTG